CTCATTTCTTTGCTTAACGTATTTATGTACAATTAATTTAAAAGGAATTTTAATGTAATACAAAAAATGTCACACACATTACACACAAACCACTGGCCTGTGAAATAGTGAAAGAAGTCATCCCTCAGGTAGATTGCATGTTTTCTTGCCTAGCTGGATGTTGTGCTCATGATAATCACGTTGTTTGCATTCACCCAAACTGATTTGCCGAAATCAAAACGCAGATGGTGCAGGGAATTGCAGACAGCGCGAGTCCCGCTCGCTGTGAACCAGGAGCGACCAAAAGCCTTCCTCGAACGGCTATGTTAACAAATTAAACGGTGATTTGTGCAAAAAGAATGATTACTTATCAGTTAAGAATTTGTTATTTGCCTGGTCTGGTAGTTATATGGCATATGCCTGCGAATAGGGGACAAACTGCGTTCCATATAACTTTCATACAGAACGGTTCATTGATGAATTACATAACTTAACCGGAGCCAGCTAACTTTTGAAAGAATAACCCGTTACAATTGGATTAGCTGCCTGAAACGTGGAGAGACGTCCGAATCAACAAACATCAGCGCGATTCTAAATCAGATTATCATTACGTTGTCAGAGTGGATATGAAGCAATGCAGGTAGGCTGTTTAATTTGCTAGCAACTGGCTAGTTAATGTTAACTGATTATAAAGCTGTCATTTGCCTTGCTAGGAGATAATATTTTGCTATCTTCCTTACCCATCTTTGGATATTTGCATTTTAACGCGAGTTCAACCATCATTTGGCCGCGGGATACCAAGGCAGACTGCGCAGTATCTGCAGTGTCAAAGCCGGGAAAACAAAGCCAGAATGCAGTTACTGCGGTTTGCCTTGGTATTAGCTTGGATTTTGTAGTTACTGCAGTTTTGACACTCTCGTTTCTCTGAAAAGGGACAAAATTTAACCAGGAAACTTTGTCACAAGACAACAGATGTCACAAAGCCCATTTTAGGACTTAACTCAATTTTGGCCAGATGTGTAGTTACTGCGTTTGCCTTTGGATGACATATTCGTCAAAATGCCACTCTCGCACACACACATTTGGCTTATATTCTGCATTTCATCATATTCTTCCCTGTATGTCAGGCCTCTTATGGATTCATCTATCTCATATCCACTGAAGTGTCGTTTCTTTCTGAATATTTTATGCAAAACAATTTTTTTTTTTTTTTTTTGCAGAAACACCCTTCATCTGCCTGGGCTTTAAAATTAAAATTCAAGTGAATGCACCAGTGTGTGGGAGAAAACAGACCTCGCACATAGAAATGCTCAGTGTAGCCTATTTATGGTGTTGTTTGTGTTTAGAATATCGTGTGTATGTGTCTGTGTGTGAGAGAGGTTTAGAAAAGGGACAAAGACAGAGAGAGAGAAAGACACTCTGAGAGATACTCAGTTCTGAAGTTGTTGCAGTCTTCACTCAATAAAATACAACAAGCAAAAATAGCTATCAATCTACTGAGGCTCAGCTGGAGAGAATCAGCAACAGAACATGGAAAAGAAAGCAGTCACAATGACGGTTGATCTGCAGGGAAAATGGCTCATACTGTATAGTCCATCTATCAATACTGTCTTCAACCTTTTGAGAGTTTGCCGCATGAATCTGTTTTAGCAGTTTTTCATCTAGATGAAACAGCTGTTCAAAAGGAAACTGTCCAAGGAGCATTACTGGATTGAGTTCAATTGGATTACATGTAGAATTTAAGCGCATCAGTCATACCTGTTAAATAAAATAACATTTGTCCTTCAGTATGAACAGTTGGCTTGAATAAATTTGAAGCATCAGATATCAGTGAATTATGAAGGACCTGGAAAACTATTTTAAATAATGCCTGGTTTGTTTTATCTTGTCATTCATGCTGGCATCATAGTTTATTATTATAAACATTTGTTGGAAACTATATTTAAATGCATTTGAATAATAATTTAAATAATGTAAATCCAAATGAACATGTCAATAAAAATATTAATAAAATTGTAATACATGTAAATACATGTTAATAATGATATTATAGTATATTATGAATATTATAAAAAATGAACACAATTTAACAGTTGTTGTTCATTGTTAGCTCATGATAATACATTCACTTATTAATGTATTATTTTGTAACCCCTATTTCTGTCCTTGGAAAGCTTGGGGAAAAAAAAAACATACTTGCTTGACAGAATACCAAAACCATACACCTGTGTCAGAAGTAATTCTGTGAAGGATAGACTAGTGTAAATAACAAAATGTATGCAAAAAATTCTGTGTGGTTTGATCTTATTTAAATCATACCAGCAGCTTATCACATCTAGTGCCTCGACATGTTCCACCAGCCCTCAGAGATGGAGGAGGGAAGATCTCTGGTCTCTCTGAGTAAACTGTTCACTGAAGTGCTTCTCCGAAATCTTTTTATTAGAGTCGATCGTAAAAGCCAACTCGTAAAGCAAGCCATTAACCACCAATGAGTATGGGCCAATGCCAGTGTGGCTGTTTAGCATATTTATGAACAGGAAGGTTTGGGAAAAAAGAGAACATATGTATACACACTTATTCAGGAAATTGCATATTTTACACAGAGAGCACACCTCCACTGCAAGTGCATCCTTGCATGCACACACACACATGTCCAGACTTCACACACACATTTGTTTGGATGGTAAACTCAAAGTGGCTTAATTTTTTCCCATTAAAGGGAGAACCAGAGATGGAGAGCTGAGTTTATTAACTGCGCAAAATGGGTAATGGAGTGAATGGATAATGCACATTGACAGCACACACTCACAAACATGGTGCCTATGTCTGGTTCTGAGATTCAGATTTGTGAGAAGCATTTCTCTGATGAAGAACCCGTGATTACCAAATAAATCTTCACACAACACTTTTTGATCCATTGACTTCCATTCATACCAGTGTGAATGTGAAAACACGAAAAAACAAACTTTAAATCTGCAAGATTACAATACAGTGGAGTAGGTTGCATAATTTTACTTTCTGATGTATTATATGCAGAGCTGAGTAGATTGCTAACAAATTGTAGTCCGTTACTGATTCCAAATTACATGACAAAAATTGTAGTTAGTAACGTAATCCATTACAGTACACATTTTAGGTAATATAATCAGACTACTTTAGATTACTTTTGACCTAATTTGTTTATCACATTGATTTAAATAGGGTAACATTGTACCATATTTATATAAAAACACTAAGATTAAGAAAATATATTCCATTTGTTGTAATTAACAACATGAAGTGCATTAAACATTACGTCAAGGTTTCCCAAACTGGTGTTCCTAGAGGAACTGCAGGGGGTTTGTGAGTATAATGAAAAGCTAATGATTGATTAAATCATGAAAAATGTCAAATTAAAATAAATAATTAAAAAATAACATCAATCAAAATAAAACACTTATTAAAAATTGAAATATTTTAATTGTTTACCTGCATGTCATGTGACCATTAACCAACGTCAGAGAACTGTGAACATGCAAATATGAAACTTATTTATTAAGATACTTATTTTAAAATCTCAGTGGTACTTCAAGTAAATATATTAGGTAAAAGAGGTTCAGATGACAGAAAAGTTTGGGAATCCCTGCATTACTGTGCATGTAAATAAGATAAAATGTGAATTTGTGCATTTTAATGTGTTTGAAAGACAAAAGCCTTCCAAATACATAGTAATACATAAATAACCCAGTCAGTGATAATTAAAATTAAAATTAATGTGTTAATTAGTAGTTGATGCAATAGGGCCTTTCGCACCGCTTTAGTTCGAGAACTAAATGTACAGTACTAAAGTACTGGGACGATTTTGTGCGAACTATTTCCCAGTACCATTTAAAGGGTTGCATTCGCACCGACAGTGTGTACTAAGAAGTGACGTAAGCCGGTCGACAGCGACGTCATTTGTGCGCAGCGTTCAACAATGGAAACAAAGAAGAACAACGTTAACAACAGGAGGATGGAGGACGCTGTGATCGGAGCTGTCTCGCGGGTTTCACAATAATGGACATGGAATGTCGATGTATACGTAAAGCGATTGAAAGAACGGAAAGGAGGACTAAGAATCTCCAACGACAACTGGCAGTGGTTAGACCCTGCTCCAGAGTAGGAGCTAATTTTGTTCTCGAAAAAGGCACCCTTCAAAAATCGCACCCAGTTCCAGCGGTGCGAAAACGCCAAAAAGTGGGTAGTTCCACAATTAGTTCTGGTACTATGAAAAGGTTCCCGCGGTGCGCAAGGCCCTAATGTTAAACCACTTAAACCTGAAATAATTTTTGTAAATCCAGTGGTCAAATGCTGTGTAGCCATCTAACTAGTGACTGGATTTTGTGTGAATGTACACAAAATGATATGACTGATATGTAATCATGTAATCAATAAAAAGTAGCTGTAGTCTGATTACGAGTATTTTAAAATGTAAATAAATCTAATTACAAGTAATTTTTGGAATTTGATTGTAATTCAGATTACATGTAATCAGTTGCAGTTGCATGTAATTAATTTTGTTAAATTATGACACTGTAGAGTGTGGCATAATATTACGAAATTTTGCCGTTTTATACTTATGATTTTTATTAATACAAATAATAATACATGCTTACATTTTTTGTAGCCCTTTTCTCAGACTTAAATTACTTTACAGAGATTCTTCATCATATAATCTGATTAAAATATACAGAGAAGAGCCGAGGGGAAAAGAGGGTTGTTTGTGTTTGCAAGAAAAGAGGAACTATGTCACTAAGAAGTGAGCATTATTAAAGCAAACAGATGATGCTCGTGCCAAGTTGTGAAAGGAGAGGAGAGCAGGGCCAGGAACACCTCCATCTCTCTTTCCTTGTCTTTCCTGCAGTTGTGTCAGACTGCAGTATTATCCCTGACGGGCTTTAAAAAGCACTTTCTGTTCTGCAGAAATGGTAATGATGATTATGATGACTTCAACTCTCTTTGTCTCTCTGTGTCTTTTTTCCTCTGTCTCTGTCTGTCTGCAGAGGATGAGTTGTAGCTATCTGCTATGTACCATCCTTCTCTTCGTGGCCGTTCTGCTCGCAGTCACAGTGACGGGAACCATTCTTCTTATGAACCACTACCAGGCTCCCCCCATGTCGGACGGCCCGCCTCATATTAGCACCAATCAGGATGAAGCCAATGCATTGGTGACAGTAGAGAGGGGTGATGGATCACGCATCAATATCTTCATCGACCCCAACTGCCCTGATTATAACAGTAATTTCCTGCGGCTGGAAGGCGTGCAGACGTCTTTGCTGCATTCGCTCACTGACCACGATACGGATCTCAAGTCCGTCAAAGGTCAGGATCGAGCGCTATTGGTCAACTTGGCAGAGGAAGTTGCTAAGCTGTCTGCCCACGCGGGACAGCTGAAGATGGACTATGAGTCTCTCAGAAGAGGACAAAGCAACCTGGGACAGGACCTGAATACACTGCAGACTGAACAGAGCAGACTTATACAGGTAATGGCGTACAGATGCACACATATGCAGAACAACTGCATCTTCAGAGGTACATACATGTGGGTAGTTGACATAGCATGGCCATATTTCTTTCTTTTTTTAAATATTTTTGGTTAAAATTGACAACAAAATGTGTATATGTTTGGTTCTATCGCAGGAGTTTTTCACCTTTTTAAATCACGCTTTTGTCTTCACTAACTAATTTTTGTCATCATGCAGTGTGATGAATTAACTTTTGAATCGAATCAATTAATATGTGGCCTTAAAAGCTGCATGCATAATAATAATCATAATAATAGCTAAATGCTATTCAGAATAGTTTTTGCTGTTGCATAGCCTATCATAACTCTTTACAAAAGTAACTTCCCATTTACTTTGGACATATTAATAGTAATAGTTCTTTTAAAGTAGTTATTTTTTAACAGTTCTTCTTCGAATTGTGTTATAGGTGCAATAACTTAGATTAATATGTCAACAGTGGTGCACCAAAAAACTAAAATCACTGTTACAATACAGTCTCTACATGAGCAGAACTGAGCAGGTGTGACTTCAGCTCAGCAGTAGCTTTTGTCAAACGATTGAATTTCTGGGAAATGGACAGAATCCATAATAAATGATGTTTCGGGGAGAATAATGCTGCGTTAACACTTACTATGTTTCCCTGAGTCTGAACCTCAGTTCAATTGCCACCCCGCTGGTCTGTTCTCACAATTTATACTGTCTCAAACCGTGGCTCATTTGCAAAATGCTTTTGTCATCAATGTAGGACCCATTGGAAGCTGTTTATCACCATCTCCAGCCAGTTTGAAATCTGAAAGCTAGTAATGGAGATAAATGTTCTCTGAAATAGTCCTTATATATCAGAAGCGAAAGTTTCAATCGAAGTTTCAAGGCACAGAAGCTGCATATGAATCACGTATACCACGGAAAGGTTCTTTTACATTTAATGCTGTACAGAGGTGACATTATCAGCAGAAATTGTGTAATGAAATTAATATTTTAAATATGAAATTATTTAAAAGTAAAATTTAATTAAATTAGAAATTAAATTAAACTCTTATGCTCACCAAGGCTGCATTTATTTGATAAAAAATACAATAAAAAAAGTAATATTGTGAAATATATTTATAATTTAAAATAACAGTTCTATTTTAATATATGTTAAAATACATTCCAGTGATAGTAAATTATTTATTTTTTTCCATTAAACAAAACATACTGACTCCAAAATTTTTAATGATAGTGTATGTGGAATGAAAATTAAAAAACAAGTTTACATATGAAATGTTTAAACGTATACTCCATCCTTACAATTCCACTGTTTAATGCTTTTTAAATTAATTTTTATATAGAATTTACTCACAGCAGTTTTTGTATGGCTGTGTAAAACACCTTTATTTGGTTTCAATGTCCACCATGTGTCAAAGTGCAACGGATTTTTTTTATTTGCAATATATTGAAATTTTCCTGCCCGATTCTTTATAAGTAGAATTATTTTTGTTGCTCCAGGGCATTTTATGAATGTGTTGGCTTTCACATTGGCATCCTGTAACATATTATACTCAGACTGCATTATGCACGGTTCTAGTGTTATAGTCACATACACTGTGTTATTGCCAGCTGAGGATGGAGAAGGCTGATATGAGGACATTGATACACTATATGGCAACTGCTGTACCACTTCTTCCTCTATAGACTACAGTTTCAGGACTGGGGAACAGCAGATGCCACCTGTTTTTCAGTGTTAAGTGAATTACCACCGAGTTAAAGCCTGACTTTAATCTGAATTACGCAGATTTAAGGTTTAGGATTAACACCATCTCTGCCTAACCACGAGTTACTGACAAGCTCCTCCTACACACCAAATCTGTCAAACAAACACACACACACACACACACACACACACACAGACGCACACACGCTGACAAACACACACAGTGGGCAGGAGTGAAAGAGAGTTGTTTATCACTACCAAACACCTGTGCAACAGAGAAAAGCGTTAGCGAAATCCCCCCTGAATAGAAAATAATCCTCCGTTTTCTGATAACTTTTAGACAGCAATGGTGACCTGTGTTTGTGTGTGTGTGTAATTGTGAGGGGTCTTTCTGTTTCATACGTTTTTTTGGTTGAGCTTTGATACAGTTTGAATGAATAGATGGATTTGTGAAATCTGGAAAGGAGCACAGAAAGCAACACTCAGCACAGGCTTGCAACTGAAGAGTGAAGAAAAAGAAGCAGAAGAGGGTGTGCATCCCTAAATTTATCAAACCTTATTAATTAAGGGCACTTATACCTGTAATTATCTCCCTTTGCATGAAAAATTAAACACAGACAGTTCCCTTGTCACAGATTAAACCCAGTTTGGTATTAAATTGTAATGCCAGTTTAATTGTTAATTTGTGGGGAAACTAGCTCTGATAGTGCACCGAGGTAAGGTTACAGGTTACACATGATAGCATTTTAGCACATACGCTCAGTGAAGCGATATGCGCACGAAGACGGAATGTAACTCCACCCAACCCCGACGC